TTCTCCCTCTGATCCTCCCCCTCTCATGCTCTCTGTCTCCCATTCTCTCTCTCAGATAAATAAATAAAATCTTTAAAAAAAAAAAGAGGATATGGCCTTTTTTTTTTTTTTTTTTACAGTGGCTTAGAAAGTGCTAACAAAGACATTATCCTATTGGACTTGAATACTGATCTGTTTCCAGAGCTGGTGCTGTTATACAGATTTGTATCTGTATAACAAATGAAGACTGTAGCCCATTAATTTAGTTATTATTGCCTCTTATCTTATATGCAGATTTTTATGTCAAATCCTGGGGAGCAAAAGGTGACTATGTCCTAATCCCTTCAACCAAGAAACTCATAGTCGAGTGCAGGAGATGAACACCTCATCAAGGAACTATTACCATATTATGCACACTAAATAAATGCTAATACAGTGTGGCAAATGCTGAAGTTGAAGTATATGTAGAATGCTGTGTAAAAGACAAGAGGAAATACTAAGTTTCCCTGGGAGAACTGGGAAAGTCTGCAAGAACGGGTGATGTTTGCACTGTGCTTTGCAAAGTTTTCTTCAGGTGGAAAGTAATGGAAAACTCTTGAGGTATGAGAGCACATGGTATTCCAAGAAAAGGCTCAAATATTGAACAACTTGCCCAGAGTCTCACGGCTAGTAAGCAGTCAGGTTGGCACTGGAGCCTAGTCTTTGGCTGCCCAGTTAATGCTCTCCCTTTGCAGTGTTTTATATAAAGGATGTAACATTTAATAAATGGGGTATACTATGATGCAACATTTCCATCGTTCTTCCCTAACACAGAATTTTTTTTTCCTTCTTTTTTTTTTTTTTTTCAGTATTCCAAGATGTGCATGTAATGATATTTGTTGGGTTTGGCTTCCTTATGACCTTCCTGAAAAAATATGGCTTCAGTAGTGTGGGCATCAATCTACTCATTGCTGCATTGGGCCTCCAATGGGGCACTTTTATTCAGGGGATCATTCACCACCATGGACAGACAATTTACATTGGAATCAAAAAGTGAGCATCCCTTATTTTTCAACCATTGTGTTTTCAGAGCAGTTGTTTCTCTGCTTGGTCTCTTGTCAGTCAGCCTCCGAACTAGCCAGCACACTGTCTCCCTAAGACAATAGAAGATTGTTGGGATCCCAGGATGTGAATCGACACCTTGCTCTACTGAGCCGGGTCATACTTTCACGTCTCTATCCTCTCTGGTTTGACTTTAAGGACACGAGAACTCCCCTTTCATTAAAGGTTATTCCTTCCAGCTACAGGGAGCAAAAATCCTCCAATAGCTTTTTTTCTGCATGTCTATATTTACATTTTGAAATGTAAACACTGTAGAAAGTAATTCGTTTATCAGATCAACAAAAATAAAGAAAAACCTAAATGAGATCAAGAACAGGTGGGTCAAAATAAAGGAAATGCTGGAGCAACCAGAATGTATGGTAGATGGCAAAGAGGAAGGGGAAGGAAGTGAGAGTGTGTGAAAGGGTACCTGGGATGAACCCTGATGGGGAGGGGCCCTTGCACGCTGGATAAAGTGATGCTCACAGTTGTATGTTGGGTATGCATTATTCTTGGACGTATTCTTTCTTTTTTCCCTCAGCATGATAAATGCAGACTTCAGTACAGCCACAGTCCTGATTTCTTTTGGAGCTGTCCTGGGAAAAATAAGTCCAGCCCAAATGCTGATCATGACAATAATAGAAATCACTGTCTTTGCTGGCAATGAATATGTGGTTGGTGAGGTATTTAAGGTAAGGATTAGAGGGTTTATACTTACTAGCTTTGGACATCAGTTCTGGTTACACCTAAAGGATGCCCACTCTACCTAGGGACAAACGTTGGTGAGCATGAGAGCATAGCAAGTGTAATTACACCCATCACTTATTTGAGTGCCTTTGGTAAACCAGGAGTCTTATCAACATTACCTCATTTCATTGTCACGACCACACTACGACCCAGGTATTATGTTGTTACTCTTACACAAATTACAACTAATGATCACAGATGCTGAAAGACTAGCCCAAATCTGGATTCAAACCTAGATTTTTCTAACTTCACAACTCTTCTTATTACATTATATTTCCTATCAATGATCAATTCCTATTAAATTTCAACTATTAGATGACTAGCCCTTTCTTTTTTTTAAATATTTTATTTATTTATTTGAGAGAGACAGACAGACAGAGAGCACGAGAGAGTGCGAGACAGAGAGCCCTAGCAGGAGCGGGGGAGGAGCAGGGAGCCTGGTGCAGGGCTCACAGGGCTGGATCCCAGGACCCTGGGGATCATGACCTGAGCTGAAGGCAGATGCTTAACCGACTGAGTCATTCAGGCGCCCCTGACTAGCCCGATCTAAGGCTTTTGTTAAAGCCTAGATCAAATTTCTTCTCCCCCATGAAAATCTCACTGATTCCCCTCAGGATAATCAATTGAATATTTCTGGGTACTTCCCAGTATTTTGCTTGTTTCTATTGAACATTTAATTCCACAGCAAATATTTTTTAAGTTTTTATTTAAATTCCAATTAGCTAACCTGCGATATATTAGTTTATTAGTTGTAATAAAGTGTAATATTAGTTTCAGGTGTGCAGTGTCATGATTCAACACTTCCATACATCACCTAGTGCTCATCATAACAAGTGCCCTCCTTCATCCCCATCACCTATTTCACCCATTCCCCCACCCACCTCCTGCTCTCTCAGCAGAAAATGTTTTTGAAAACTTTCTAGGTGTCATGTGATGGTGAATCTGACAGACAAAATAGTTAATGTCCCTGTCTTTATAGAGTTTACAGTCCAGTGAAAGAAGAAGACATCGAATAGAGAATTATATATCACCTACCCACCCATAAGCACGTGCACGCGCACACACACACAAATATTATTATAAATTGCAATACATGCTATGAAAAATAAGTGCAGGGGGCTATGGGAGAGCATAACTGGAAAACCTAACTTAGATTGTGGAATCAAGGAAGGCCTCTCTGAGGAAGTGACAGTTTAGCTGGACCTGAAAGGTACATAGGAGTTTATGAAGTGTGAAAATCTTAAATAAATTAATAAGTCTGTATCATTTTCCTACCTTAGTAAGTATAATAGGAGCTATGCCTCAGGTTTGGCACTCCAAACGTTCCCTCTTGGGGTAGGAGAATGTAGAAAACTGGATCAAATTCACACAGTGACCTGAAGAGGGACGTAAATATATTGCTTCAAAGGAATCTTGGACCTCAGCTGATTTTCACGTCATCATATAACACAGTGAAAAAATATGGGAAAGACCCAGGCTTTTTAAAGCTTCCAGTCTTTGAATTGTAATTAAATGCACCTTTACTGTAATGTCAAATGAATGCAAAGAGCATCTTTCTTTTGAAACAAATGCAGTGCATAATATTTCACTAAGAATTTCCCTAACCTAGAGAAGTAACCTAAAATGAATTGAATGTCCACAAAGACCTAGCACTTTACAAACATGGCCTCAACACAACTATATTTCCTACTTTCCAGAAGCAGAGATCCAAAGAAGTATAGTAATTTGTCTAAAGTCACATTGCAAGGAAGTATCTGACCTAGCATTGGAAGTCAGTTCTGTGTGTCTCCAAAGCCTGTATTTTTTTTTAACTTCACTATCCTGTTTCATTCTTTCTCTGACATATCCTTTCTTTCTTTTAATTTATTTTATTGTTTAACCAATGAAGCAGTTCTTTCATTGACTTTCCTCCTGTAGTGAGACTCAGTTTCACCTCTTATAACATGAATGTTTTGCCCCTCAGGCCTCTGACATCGGAGCATCAATGACAATCCATGCTTTTGGGGCCTACTTTGGCTTGGCAGTAGCAGGTGTCCTATATCGGCCAGGCTTGAGATGGGGGCATGAGAAGGAGGAGTCTGTGTACCACTCAGATTTGTTTGCAATGATTGGTGAGTAGACATGAACTTGCCTGATTCAGTACCCAAGGCATACTCTCTCCTCTGGCCTGTCTTCCATATCCAGCACTAATATCCCTTTCTGTGGTTTACCGCAGGGACTCTTTTCCTGTGGATGTTCTGGCCCAGCTTTAATTCAGCCATTGCTGAAACTACAGAGCAACAGTACACAGCCATCGTAAATACGTACTTCTCCCTTGCTGCCTGCGTGCTCACAGCCTATGCATTTTCCAGCTTCGTGGGGAAGAGAGGCAAGCTCGATATGGTCAGTGCACATTAACCACCATGGAAGCTTCGCTAAGTGACACTGATGGTTACCCAGATGAGTAGGTCATTTCTGCATCACTGCTGAGTGGCCACAACAAATCACAGCACTGCAAACCTTGCAGAATATTTTGAAAATAATGTTCATTTGTTTCTTCATCAAATTTGTATTGCGGCTAATCAAAAAAGTGTTCTCAAGGAATTTACAGCCTACTAGGGAACATAGTCATGCAAAAATCAAAGATTTGAGGAATATTTCTTTAATGATGGAGCTGACTGTCTCCAAGGTCTTAGAAAATCTTCCTTAGAAACAGGACTTGCAGGGCACCAGGGTGGCTCAGTCGTTAAGCATCTGCCTTCGGCTCAGGTCATGATCCCAGGGTCCTGGGATCGAGCCCCTCATCGGGCTCCCTGCTCCTCGGGAAGCCTGCTTCTCCCTCTCCCACTCCCCCTGCTTGTGTTCCTGCTCTCACTGTCTCTCTCTCTCTCTCTGTGTCAGATAAATAAATAAAATCTTTAAAAAAAAAAAACAAAAAAACAGGACTTGCGAAGAATAGAAAAAAAGAGAATGGGGGGAGGGTGCAAGTTGATTCTGTTTTTGTAACTGCAAATATTCCTCTCAAAGAAATTACAACTAAAGGCAATGTCAGATCCTGAATAAAGCTCTGGAAAATAAAAAGGACATTAGTGGGAATACCGATAAAAAGTCAAATAAGACCTTTAATAGTATTCTATCAATGCTAATTTCCTGGTTCTATGACAACATAAGATGTTAACCTGGGGGAAACTGGATATATGGAAACTCTGCAGTATTTTTGCAACTATTACATGTCTAAAATTATTTCAAAACAAAGCATTTTTTTAATCCTCCCAAGTTGGTCTTTTGAGTTTCTTGCCTATGAACTAGAGAAATGTCTGTGAAGGAATAATCCACACATCAGCTGATGTTCTTTTCCAGCCTGAGGGAGGAAAAGGATATTGTAATTTCTTCAAGCATAGCTATGGACATGGATTTCAATGCTGTACAATTTGTTTAATGAAAGAAAATTAAAAACAAGAAAAGAAAAAAAACTTCATGTACAGCTCAGTCCTCTCTTAAAAGTAGTGATGAGCTTTCCTCCTCAAGCAGAACAGCCAGAACATGATTCTTCTGAGGAATTCTGATAAATGGCAATTGGTTATTCTTTCCACCATCTTCAAATGTTCTCAATACAGTGACATTTGTGAAAGCTGTTGTCTTTCATATATAATGTCGCATTTTGGTATCTCTACATTCCCTCTTTGAATATTGGAATGTCATGGACTCCACAAAGCACACAGCAGCCACAGACCTCTTTTGGTTCATGATAACCACAAATGCATTTCCAAACTGAATAAATAGACATACCACTACTAGAATAATTACATTATATGTACCCAGGCCTTTCGTTACAACTTCTTTGGTTTTCCTCTCATTCCTCGCCAAACTGGTCTCATTAACCTGATCACTCAGTCACTACCAAGGAACCCCAGCAAGAAAGATATCAAATGTCAACTGCTTGGAAGAAAGGCCTTCTGTCATTACAAAGAATCTTCTTTTAAAAAAAAAGAAGCAGTAGCCCTTTGAACTGAAGAATATACCATAGAGTCCATGGAACCCTAGATGGATTGCTTCATTCCTTCTGAAGCCTGCCTCATTCAGCTCACTTCATTGGTGTTTCTGTGCTCCCCACAGGTTCACATTCAGAATGCAACCCTGGCTGGAGGAGTTGCTGTGGGGACCTGTGCGGACATGGAGATTCAGCCGTATGGTGCTATGATCATTGGGGGCATTGCGGGAATTGTCTCTGTGCTTGGGTTCAAGTTCCTGACTGTAAGTATGACAGGTGCTCTCAGTCAAACCTTGAATCTGTATCATCATCTTCTCACATCCCACCAGCAGAGAAAAGCTATGAAAATTCCTTTTATCAGCACCCCTCCTTGTTTGAGGGTCATTTCCCTTCTTGTCAGAACTACCCCTCACAGTTCAGTGTTCAGTGGTTCCTACTCTTCCTTCACTTCTTTTGTGTACCAGGAAAGAATCTGATATTATTAAATTATTAAAAGAATTAGTGTGACTTGAATGCTAAGTACTGGTGTTACTTTCCTCAGGGCAGTTTCATTAAAGTTTTTGTTGTTGATGATATTTGATTGTTTTGTAAAATGAAGGACTCTGTGTCCTGTTAAGGGGATTTAGAATATCATCAGTAGGTCAGAAGGAGGAGGACTTGCAATCACTCACCTTCAAATCCATCTACTAAAAACTGACATGAGTAATTTTGCCACCAACATATTTGGATTCTTTGACTTAAGTGGGTTTTAGATATAGATGGCAAAAGGGGCTACAGTATATCTAACAAAATAATAAACCTTCCTCTTTTTACATTTTTAGCCATGTCTTACTGAAAAACTGAGAATCCATGATACATGTGGTGTTCATAACCTGCATGGCTTACCTGGTGTGATAGGAGGCCTCGCAAGCATTGTGGCGATAGCCTTGGGAGCATCTAAGGGGTGAGTTAAAGAATGGGTTTTCCTGCACCCTAAGGTCCGATGACGTTTTATCGCACTCTTGGAGGAATCTGCTAATGAGAAAGTTTTTTCTTTAGCAATCCAGGCCACAGTCATAAGTATGGTCCTTACTGAAGCCAAAAAGATACAACTAGGAGAATAGAATTGGATGGGAAGGTGTGTCTTAACTAATGGTATGAATGGTGGCTGGTTTTTGTTTGTTTTAATTAACAGTGCTAATTTAAATATTTCTAACAGGCAAGTGTCTCCTCACAGATAGGGCAACTTGATAATCACAATCTGATTACAGTAGGCTTACTCTTTTAGTTGGTATCACCAAAATGGAGGAGGGGGCATCTGTGATGACAGGATCAGTCATTTCCTACGATCAACACAAAGAACAATGAGTTAGCATAATGTGAAGAGAAGCCGATCTGGAGAATCAGGAAGCCCAGCATAGGTTCCAGCTTTGCTATTGACTAATAATGGGGTCTTTGACAACTCACTTAGCTCCTGTGGTTCTGTTTCCTCTTCTGTAAAATGAGGTTGGATACTTAGGTTTATTCTCTAAAAATCCCTTCAAGCTCTAACAGACCTGGAATCTTCCCAGAGGGGGCATAAGTGTTTAAACGGCCGGAGGAAGAACAGTTATCAGTCAAATCCAGGACAACAAAAGCGATGTCAAAGGCCATCAGCTGTCACTTTTAGGTAACAAGGTGGGGACAATTTGATATGAAAATCATCCATGCAAAACAGCTAGGAAGATCAGAGAGTCCAGATAAACTCAGGGATTAAGGAAGGAGGAATCAAAACACTCAATTTTTAAAACCCATTGAAAGCATGAAGAAAAGGCGAATATGTTTGAAAATGTCTCAAAGTGACTACTGGCTAGAGTTGAATAATTTGAAGAGAAAAATCTCTTTAATTTTCACAGATTAAAATTCAACTCTGTTGAGACCAGTCATGATAAATATTTGAAAAAATTTGTTTAATCATATTTTCTACTGAATAGAAAGTTTGCTTCCACTTTCATGTCTAGAGCTGACCCATTTCTTCTGGAGAACAACCCCAGAAAAAGCCACATTTTCTTGCAGCTCTCTCCAGGACCTAACATGCTGTTGAGACCAAACACTAACATATTTGAATGCAAATCAAGCATGATAAAAGCCTGAGTCCATGAGCTCAATTCCTAAGTGCTATGGTGTGTAAATACTCTTAAGATGTGCCTTATGATGAGAAATAAAGGAATTCTTGAGCATCATGCCTGCACCAGTTCCATGGACGCAATAAAACAAGACTATCTAGCTCTCACAGGCTGGGTCTCACTGGGTGGCCAGATTTGGGGTAGGTTCTGCAGTTGAGAGTCTAGTCCTTGGGTATTCAGGCTGAGCAGCCACTTCTCAATGTGCTCAGGGGGCTTTGGGGGTGGGGGTGGATGAGGAGCTTTGGAAGGCCTAGTCACATGGGTGGAATTCACACATGTGTCTCACACACCAGACAAAATATTTCGGCCAAGAGCCAAGACTATTTACTCAGATGTTTCTATTCAGAATACTAAAATGCAAATCAGGTTTCTTGGTAAGCATAGAACAAGGCGAAGTAAGGATTCTTAAAGGACATCTGTGCACACTATGCCAGCCTAATTCTAATAATGCGGTTAATTTTGTTAAACCTCCTGTTTCCCAAGCCTGTTTTATCATGGAATACTTTTTATCAAAAATATCTTTTAATATTTTGGAAAAGATTTTGGCAAATTCTGGTAAAATTAATAGGCCGTTGACAAAAGAAAAATATCAAATGAATAAATATATATTAAATATTCATCCTCACTAGTGATCAAAGAAACGCAAATTAACACAAGTTCCCAATTTTTCAATTATAAAGTTGATAAAGATTAAATGAATAATAATACTGAATGGTGGCTAACGTAGAGAAATAGGGATATGAATTTCAAAAAGTCCTTAAGAAGTGTATAAACTTTCGCTAATAATTTCATTTCTAGATAGGTTTTTATTTTAGGGAAATTATTGGGCAAATTCATAAGCATGTTCATAAGAGGATGTGTTCTCACAACATTTTAAAAAATATGAAACATTGGAAGCAACCTAAGTATCCAACTTCTAGAACTATAATTACAGTATATTTTTACAGTGTAGCACTCCATAGCAATTAAAATTGTGATCCAGGTCTACATTCACTGACATCAAAGGACACTTAAGGATTAATGGGAAAATCAGTATTATAATGTGATTGCCTTTTTATAAAAATATATGTCTTTATTTTACATTTTTATACTGATTAAGACTTGAGGGAAATTAAACTTTTTCTCTTCATTTTCTGGATTAATGGTTTCTCATATTTTTACAATGGGCATGTGTTACCAGTACAATTTTTTTCACATAGTAGAAGAAATTTAAACCCTTCAAATAAAAAGAAAAAATGGAAATCTGAGTTTAGTGCATTCTTTCCCTTGGATGATGAAGATGAAACACCAAAGATGAAACACCAAGACACTCTCATTTTCCATTTGTTTGCCTTCCCATAATCACACTTTCAGTCCTTCAGCAACTATTTATGAACTGCCTGCTAAAAGTGAGGTGCTGTGCTAAGGAGGTATTCACATTCCTAGTCCTTTTGTCACTCCTATAACAATCATGCATTTCAATAGCTTTTTATGACCTTCTTCCATTCCCAAATATTATGAGGCACTTTTTTTACTAATTTTATTTTAAGGTAACTATGTCTAAGATGACTTACAGATTTTTTTTCATATATTCAATAAGTTGTCTTTACACTATGTGCTAAAATTAGCTTTTCTGATCTTATTGATTTTTTAATTAAATTGCAATTGTTCCTTTTGGGATGGGGTGAGGAAAGATGGCCACTCATGTTCATTTTGTACATTACTCCATCCTCAGTGCCTAGAAGGGAAGGGGGCACAGAGTGAGTACTCAATAAATACTTGTTGAATGAATCAGATGGGGGATGAGAACCTGATGCCATATTTTTAGAAAATACTAAACTCTTTCTAAGGAAGATCTTTTCATCATTCCTGAAGAAAAAGGTGATTCTTGCTTAAGTGCTTCTAAGGACTTTTTAACATTGCTCAAGAATTTCAAAGAAAATAAAAATACAAAATAAAACAAAAATTGCAGTAAGTGTTCGTTTGCTGGTGTAATGCTGCTCTCTGGCCTGAAGATGGCAAGCATCCACTCCCTCAGGAAATGAGTTTTGTTGGCTGGTATCCTGGAAAAACAACACTTTTCTTTTGGCTTCCTAGGTCTAGCATGGTCATGCAGGCAGCTGCCCTAGGTTCTTCGATTGGAACAGCGATTGTTGGAGGGCTGATCACAGGTCAGGATGAAAAGTAAACACTTCCATGTGCCACATGTGGTCAGCGTAATAGATGATAAACATATCGACTGGTAAATTTGAAAATATTCTAAACTTCTGACAGTAAAGTAATCATGTAAGCTCAAGGGGATGATTTTATAGCTATATATATTTATATGTATTTTTTTTAATATTTTATTTTTAAGTAATCTCTACACCCAATGTGGGGCTTGAACTCAAACCCCAAGATCAAGAGTCGCCCCTTATAGTAGTATTTTTATTACTATGCGAGTAAGTTTTCCTCTTCGCATCATAACGTGACTTGTCTCCCTGCTCTCGTAGGTTTGATTCTCAGGTTCATTGTCCGTGTACAGCCAACTACAGAATTCTTCTTTGATGACTCTGTTTATTGGGAGGTACTGTACAGTGTTCTAAGACTGTAAATGATGACTATACCAGTGAAAGTTTTGCTCACCCAAAGCCTAAATGTCTGTTTGGCATCCTTGTGATAAAATTGGATAAACTGCCTAATTATAGAGAGGAAACTGAGACAATGTGTCCGGACAGATAAAATCAGAAGTTAAGGTCTTTTCCAAAGCAGAAAGGACATGAAGAAAAGACAGAATTTAGTAGGCAAATGTCCCTTGCTCCTCTGAGAGCAATAAAAAGTCCTCATAAATATAATAGGAATCCCAGGCAGTGGCATGAGATTTTATACCATATATATGAATAGGTAAAAACAGGTAGAATATGGAAGGTTGAAGAATCTCAGTGAAGAATCTGACAAGAGGTTTTTATGAATAACATAATCTTCTTTCTATCCTCCAGTTTCTACCTCTTTACTCCATTGGCATTTTCCCCAGATTATTTCCTGCAAAGCTTAAGAGGGATAGATATTTTGATGTGTTCAATGGGATTTTCAGGGAAAACAGGTTTGGTGAAAAGAATGTAGTCAGGGTGAGTGGGGTAAATATTTTTGTTCTTTTATTTTTCCCCAAGACAAACAATTGTTATTCCTAGTTCTTTCTAAGCTTGGATAATAATTATAGAAAATACCTTTTGTGTTTCAATACTAACCTCTGTCAGGCCCAAGTGAAAGAAACTATAAAGTGCCCTATCTTGTTTTCTTTAAAGGTCCCCATGGGGAAAGAAGTTGACGATGAATGAACATGATGGCCACAACCAGCCGGAACCTAAAGACTAAATATCATTCCTGTGCTTCAGCTTCCTTTCCCATTATCTAGAATCATGTTTAAAATTTTTAAAGGGCAGCATCCAACAAAAACATGGAACAGAATGGATAGGTCCTGAGCCCCAAATGTCCAGTGTGAAAAATCTTAACACAATCTGATGCTGTTTCTTGACACTCAATGATTGCTTAATTGAAGGAATGTGACTTGTAAAATAGAGGATCAAATGGATTCTCTTTAGGACTCCCAGACTACTCTTGCCAGTGGGTAGGTACAGGGTGAACATTCCATGTTTCTTCTTGTATTTTTTTTTTTCCCATAGAGGTAAATTTACAAAGAAATCAACACATCTGATTATGTCAGTTTCTTAATATACATACTATGTCTTCAATCCCAAAGGTATAAAACTAGAGCCAATAAAACAATATGTAAGAAATCTATATAAGAAATATGAAAGAAATGTATTGCATAGAGCAAGAACATGATTGTTTTTGGTGGTGCTTTTTTGATTTAAAAATAGTCTAGTTAGTAATGCTATGTCTTCACTTGAATATTTTTATGCTTAATTCTTTTTGCATGTTTACTATTTGCAACAAGAGTCAAATGCTATCTGACCAAAGTCTATTTTGTATAAAATTCTAATAAATTAAATGTTATTTTATTATAAGTTAAAACATTTGTCTTTGGCTCTCCTTTCTTTGGTGCTTGGAATTCATTTTATTAACAAGCACACACACATACACATACACTCCTCATATTTAGTTCATATTCAATCCAAATAAATTGTTACTATGTGTTAACTACAAAATAATCAAGTTAATGTCTCACATTATAAGGTAAGTTTTAAAGAACTAAATTTTAGAAAATGTAATTGACATAGTCATATAAAACCATTTCTAGAGAAATACGATTTTTTTTTTCTCTCTCTAGAACCTTTTAAGATTTTTATTCTATTTCTGGAGTCCTGGAATCTTGTCAGGATGTGTCTTTGTATCTGTGAGGAAATAAGCGCTGGTATAATTAACAGAACTTCAGTTACTAGATGCTAGGTATTAAAAATTACCAGTAACAGTGAATTATTTAATATTTTATTCCTCTGGAGAAATCGTATAATTTATTTATAGATCCTAAGTATTTCATTAGACAAATAGGTGATTTCTTTCAAATGTACGTCAGAGTCTCTTTCACATGGGTTTTTGAAGTGTGCTTATGTTATAAAATCCACTATCCCCAGTCTTGCTGGTCATCACAAAGAATCGTTTTCACTATCCAGATATCCAGAGACCCCCTCATTCCCTGTTGACCATAAGGCAAAACTCAGAGGGTCTTGGGTATACACAGGTGTTGTTTTTTTAAGTCTGTAATTGTGATGTGCTTAGGAACAGGGTTGTGATAACCATTAGCCCTTGGCTTGTGAACACTCTCTCCTGCCTTCCTGCAATGCAGTTCTTATAACTGGTAGTCTTATTTTAAAATTCTGAGTTAATGGTCTTTTTTTCACAATAGAATATGTCCTTTTTTATCTGTTTTGCCTAGAATTTGATGAAGCATTTTAATTTGAAAATTTGAGTCTTCTTCTGCTCAGATAAACTTCCTTCTACTTCTTAGTGGCTTCCTCATCTCATCTGTTAATTTTTCTTTGTCTAGCACTCCTGTTATTCACATGGGAAGTCTATTGGATCTGTTATCCAAATCTATGGCCTTGCCCATCTTTATTTCATTGGTTTTAACAGAGATTTCTGTGCTCCTTCTATTCATCTATTGATTTGTTTGTTTGCTTGAAAATCATTGTCCATCTTTATAGATGCAGCTAAATTTTGCATGTGTCTGTGCGTGCAATGCTTGAATCTCCTTAATTGTTCTTACAATTTTGTTTATTGGGAAATGGGGTGCATTTTTGTTCAAGATCAAGTTAAAAGTCTAACCTAGCTCTGTCAATAGTTAAATAACATTTTTTATACCTTATCTGTTCCAAAAAACATTTCTGATATCAAATAATACTATTGATACTAATAGACTGATTTTTAAGTTCTACTTGGATGATTAGTTTCAGGAAGTTTTTGTTATTCTTCGTTCCTATCTAAATCTGAAAGACTGATCGATAATGTTTAACTACAATTTCAGACAATGTGGTGAAAGCAGAGATAATTTCAGACTTCCCAGCCCTTGCTTCCAGTCTTTACTGCCTATTGTATAAGATAAGAGCTCTGCTGATCTAGGGGAGGACTTCTGCAATAGCTTTATGTTGTTAGAAGCCACTTATTTTGTGTGTCTCTTGAGTCTCTTCATTCTGGGTTCTGGCACCGTTTTGGCTGGTTGTTGAATTAGTTTGTCTCTTCCCTGGGGGGTTACGTTCCAGTTGCTGAGGTACCTTGGGTGACAGTAATCTTGATAATGAAGGGAGGCACAGCAATCTGGCGAAGTATGTCAGATATTTGCCAGAGTGTGGAAATAGAATTCCCCTAATGAGAGCTTAAACAAAGCCTCTCTGTTCCTCAGTCTTTTCAGCAGGCCATGCTTGGTGTTCTTCTAGAACCAGGGCCAAAAAGGACTCAGAGCATCTGCTAAGCATTCCTGCAGCTCACGGGGGACAAGGGAGACCCATTGTCACCTCAGGAATGCTCAGTAGGGAAGACAAATTACCATTCCCTGGGAATTCACAAACCTCTGCAAACCAAGAGTTCTCAAATCTCTACCCCTTGGGTCTCTGCCACCTGCCTCCAAATTTTCATCAAACACAGAAGAGGGAAGTTCTCTATCAGCTTTTCTTTCCCCCTTTGAATCCAAGGTCTTACATCCTCCAGTTAAACAGCAGGTCTGGTTACTGCTCAGCTCAGGACAGGTCCTATAGTTTGATTAGAGATGTAGGATGAAGAGTGCCTGTCTGGCTCAGCCGGTAGAGCACGTGACTCTTGATCTCAAGGTCATGAGTTCAAGACCCACATTAGATGTGGAGCCTACTTACTTAAAAAAAAAAAAAAAAAAGAACTAGAATGGTAGCGTACACAAAGTATCATAAAGAGGAGAGGGGAACCTAAATAAAATTAAAGGAAAACTTGCCAGAAAAAAATAAATAAATAAACAAAACATATGGTTAGGTAAAGAGTGATTTAAAACTCAATTCTAGGGGCACCTGGATGGCTCAGTCAGTTAAGAGTCTGACTCTGGGTTTCAGCTCAGGTCATGGGATTGAGCCCCGAGTTGGGCTCCGCACTCAGCATGAAGTCTGCTTGAGTTTCTGTCCCTCTGGCCCTCCCTCTGCTCTCTCCCTCAAATAAATCAATAAATCTTTAAAAAAATAATAAAAACAAAACTCAACTCTATTGAAAGTAAAGCCAACACTCTCTCACCTAGACACCATTTGTTCATGAAATGAAAGATTAGAAGTCTCCTCAATCCACTCTCCCTTCTTCTTTTTGAAGAAAGAAGTTGTTGCTGTGTGTATATTTATGTGGATGTGGGTTGGTGGAATAGGTCAGCTGGGGAGAGTATCAAGTGAGAGGAGTTAACAAATTCATGAACTGTCAGATCTCTCTAATCTGTATTTTATTTCCTAAATCACCCACTTCTATCCTGTCTACCCCTAGATCTATGTTCTGTCCATTGCGGGGGCGGGGCACAAAATCCAGTCTTTTCTAACTAACGACCTTAGCTTTTATCCTGGCCTTATTTCAATGGGTATTCATCAAAAATCTCTCAGAATAATATCTACCCCAATTTTAGCCAACCTAAATGAGAGCAGCTCCAACAAGCACATCTTGTCCTTGTTAATCAGACATAGACACTTCCTAGGCCTCATCTAACAATAAGTATACATCTGCCAGGTCCACTTTTGGACAAAGTCCTTCTTTTGGGGAGGGGGGGGTTGACAATTAGTATGCCAGGTCTTGAATTTAATTCCTGCTTAGTCTTTTACTATTTAAGTGTTTTTAGAAAAAAGTACTTTATCTCTCTGAGTCTCTTTATTCACCTATAAAAATAGATAATACCTACTTTGTGGAGTTATTTTGAGAATGAAGGGTAACATTTTGAAACTGAAGGGCACTTAAGAAAAATTAGAAGAAAGTTAAATCATTTTAATATTCTTTAAATTTTAAAAGTATTTATATCAAGTAGGGGCTTTTCCATAAATTGTCCAAATTTACCCTCGCAATGGCCCTCTGAGTTAGATATTATCACTGAAGAAGCTGAGGTTCTGGCTAAAGGAGCTGGGGTTCAAGCTTAGATCTTGTAACGTCAAATATTGATTTTTTACAACCAACTCCAAATGCTTCGTCTGAAGATTAAGTTATAAAAGCACAGAAAAATGGATGTCTCTTAGTGGAATTTTAAGTATTAGTGAAAAGATTGAGAGAGAGATCTCGGCACCACATAACCAGCAGCTTACTCCAGCCTTGATTCCATCAGAAAGAGGGTCTTAGATGTGAGCACACTGCCACTGCTGCCTGAATCATGATTACTGTGGGGATATTTTAACCCCCAGGATTTAGGATTCTTATATATTTCTCCTAAGAACCCATTTCTACCAGGGGCACCTGGGTGGCTCAGTTGGTTAAGCATCTTGACTCTTGACCCCAACTCAGGTCTTGATCTCAGGGTTGTAAGTTCAAGCCCTGCATTGGGCTCCACACTGGGCATGGAGCCTACTTTAAAAATAAAAAAAAAGAACCCATTTCCATCAATTAAAAAACATCAGAATTTATAGTCCTTCAAATTTTGTTCATTTCCAGATTTCCGTATATGAAGTAGATAAAATGATGAATGAAGTGGAAATGACTTTTCTGGTCGCAAGGAATATCAGGTACTTACCTTGAAAAGGATCCATTCTTGCAAAGTTCCCTTTTCTACACATGGTGAAGTTTTGATGAACAGAACAATATTGCTCTGTACAAACAAATAAAACCCAAACAAGTGCCTGATCTCTTCCCATGGTCAAGTTTTCACATCCCTGCTCCAAAGCAATGAACTAGGCAAAGAGCTGCATCTTGCTTAATATATGGGAGCAGCTGGTATGATACCCAGCACTCATGCAGTTAGTTCTGGAGGGAAAAGTCTCAAGTCCCATCTTATTTTTGTCACTAATTAAAGCTCTGATCTACTCCAGAGTTTGCTGGATATGCAGGTCAATACGTCAAAAAAAAAAAGACTGGCTGATATTTTTGTCAATTTTTTCATCACCATAAATCCAAATGTCAGCTTTCTGCACATTTATCTATTATCCTATTAAAGTAGTTCCAGAAGTCCTCACAAAATACTGGATATTTTGCTCAACACCTCTTTGAAATAATGAGACTTTCTGTAAGTTTTTGAAATAATTTTGAAACAATCTCAAGCCCTCAGAAAAAGCAGTACAGTACATGAACTGTCTTTTCTGGAACCATGTAAGTTTCTGGCTTCATTATCCCTGAATATTTTAGTATATAGTTCCAATAAACAAATATTCTCTCAACCAAAACATAACCATCAAAACCAGGAAAATAGCATTGCTATTTTCAAACTGACACTGGTCAGCTTGAGCTGCTATACCATGCTATACCAAAATACACTGGGCAGCTTAAACAGCAGAAGTTTATTTTCTCACAGTTCCAGAGGCAGCAGTCCAAGATCAAA